TCGCTACCTCGCCCTTTTCAACTTTTTTATCGTCGACGACGATAAAAAAAGAAACCTCGCGTGCGTTACTTAATTTCTCTGACGGTGTAAGGGCCGGGGGTATCATTAAAATCAGAGCGTGTAATTCGCCTACGATTAATACACGCGACCGAAATTATCTACGATTTGCGAAGGAATAAATGAATGATTTCCATGATTGGGAGAGACAATGGCGATGGTGATGGTGGTGAATCGAACAATAGAGATCAAAAAGATGTCTCTCTCTCACTCTGTTTTTCTTAACTAAAAGAAAGACAGAGAGAAAGAGAAAGAGAGACGAGGGTAGGGAGAGGGAGAACAAAGCGTGTCACCCGCCTCAGGTTTCGAGAACGATTTAATTTCATAAACCGCAACTGTTGCCTCTATTTGGTCGGCAAGGGAGCGCCGCTAACAGTTATGATCCGGTGTTTTGTCCCTTCTCTTTCTTTCTCTCTCTCTCTCTCTCTCTTTCTCTCTATCTGTTCTAAAATCAAGTTACTCCTCCGTCAACTTTCTTGCTCATCTTAAAGAAACGAAATTGCAAATGGGAGCGAGTGACATACTTTTTGAAATTCATCATCGCTTCGCTTCGCGAAAGACAATCAGTCAGTCAGTCAGTCAGTCAGTCAGTCAGTCAGTCAGCCAGCCAGCCAGCCAGCCAGCCAGGCAGGCAGGCAGGCAGCCAGGTAGACAAGCAAACAGGCACAAGCAGCAAGCAGGCAGGTCCAAGGTGGATCATTCGAATGGGCATCCATATCAAGGATGCTGAGATAAAGCAAAAGGACAAAGAAAGAAAGAAAGAAAGAAAGAAGAAATAGAGAAGGAAAGAGAGAGAGAGAGAGAGAGAGAAAAGATGGCTCGAGTCGCGGATGTCTCCGGCATTGTATGCAGATGAAGAAGGCAGGGCGACAATGACTCGGGCCTCGTCTGGAACGGGACGCTTGGAGGAGGATACAGAGGAGGTAAGGGAGGAGGGCCGTCTCGTACCGAAAGAAAGCCATCCGGGACACACCATCCGGCACACGAAGGGGTCCCTCCTTTGGCTCGTGCTCGACACCACTACTTCCTTTCTCCTCCTCCTCCTCCTCCTCTTCTTCTTCCTCCTTCTCTTTCTCTTTCTTCTTCTCCTTTTCTTTCCACATACAGACACGCTTATGTACTACGCATCCATACATTAACATGTCATCATCGCGTAGAGAACGAGCTGATCGAGCACGAATCGTTTTCTCTCTCTCTCTCTCTCTCTCTCTTTCTCTCTCTCTCTTCTGCGTCGTCATCGACTGTCTCTTTTCTTCTTCTTTTTCTTTTCGAAACGACAAAGACAACTACAACTATGGCTTTCCTCGATCTGCTCGTGGGCGTTTTCGTTTGTTCTCCTGAAGGAAATCGAACGAGTCAAAGAGAGAGAGAGAGAGAGAGAGAGAGAAAGAGAAAGAAAGAGATCAAGGTGTCTCTTCCTTTATTCTCGTTAGGGCGTGGACGAGATCGAAAGTAAAGAAGAGGAATCGGAATAAGATAGTCCCCAACGACGAAATCAAAGGAATAAGTAGGACTAGCACGGTAAATGAAAGTTTGAGAAAATGGCGAAAAGAGGGTTGGCAGGTGAGTAGGTGGGTTGGTTGGGTGGGGGAGGAGTTGGTAGAAGACAGAAGGGCCATTCGTGCCGGTCGATATGACTCCAGGGGTTGTTTGGCGAATACACGTACGCGTACACAGGTATATACGTAGACGTTGTCGACGGTGGCGGTGGCGGTGGTGGCGGTGGTGGCGGCGACGGTGGCGGTGGAGGCGGCGGCGCCGGCTCGGCACCGACGTGCGCCGAGTGAACGAGCAAAAGGGAGAGAAGGAAGAGAGAAAGAGAAAGAGAACGCGAATCGAGCACCAACGGCGTTGGTGTGTTGTAGGAAGAGGAGAAAGGAGGATTGGTAAACCGGTCACGTAGTGCTCGGCGATGAATGGACCCGCCGAGTCGAGCCCGGAGCCGGGAATTGGCTACTGGGCATACCACGACCACCTACCCCACTGCGTCAGCTTTAACCACCCCACGGCCGCGTAAAATTACGAAGAGGTGCTCAAACTCGAACGTACGCACCGGCGTTGTTACAGGCTCAAGGTCCCCCTTCTTGATTCCTCTTCTTTTTCTTCTTTTCTTTCTTCTTTTCCTCTCTCCCTTTCTCTCTTCTTTCCAACTGATATTAAACTAACACTTTATATATATATATATATATAGTATAACTTTATATATATATATATATACATACACATGTACATATAGTTCAGATATATCATCTGAGATAAGCGTTACGAAAAGTAAATCTTTTTCTAGGAGCAGTGGTTCTCATAAGTACATTTTTTTCAAAGAGGGAATTTAAATCAGCGATATAGGTGTACCGTAGGTCTCGTAAAACCAAGATGACAAAGAGGGAGGATTTATAGCGTGCTAGATCGAAAGCCGAAAGATTACCGGCCGTGATATTCGTAATCAGGATTCCATTTGCGAAATCCTCATGGGTACATCACTTTCTCGATGTACCGGACACGAGACGAGATCGAAACCTATCCGCACCCCCTCTCTGATACCCCCCTTACGCAATCTAAAGCGAGTGTCTCTGATCTGCCATAAAGTCATTTCATAACGCATCCCAGAGGGTTAAATACTCGGTATTCCCCATAATCTCTCCCCCGTTCGTCCCTTTTAAATCCTTCTTGTCTTCGTTAAAGGATACTGCAGTGATCTTTTATTCTTTTAGTTTTTTTATTTTATTTATTTATTTATCTTTATTTTTTTTTTTTTTTTTTTTTTTTTTTTTTTAAATAGAACGAACGCGAAGAAAATGAAAGTACAATGGCTCGTACTAGGCTGTATCTATAGCTCGCAAAACGAAGAAAAGATGTTGGTGACACTTGCAACGGAATTAAAAAATAAAGGCATCCTATAAATCAAAAGGTGGGGTAAGGAACAATGTCGGGGGTAGAGAACAAACCCTTTCGTTAATTGCACATCGCAGATGCCGACTGTTGCAGATTCTTTTTACGATCCTCTCTCTCTCTCTCTCTCTCTCCTTCTCCCACGTTGGACGAAACGAGTATAAGAAGAGAAAAAAAAAAAAACAAAAAAAGGAAAGAAAGAAAAAAAAAAAAGACTCTTTCGACTTAGTCGTCCCTAAGAAAAAGTTTGCACCATGAAATAAACGAAAACACCGTTAAAACAATTACAAGAGACATCCTCGTAATCGTAACACGATTCGTTGGTTCTAATAAAGATTTCATCTTCAATGAAATTGGCCTGGTTAAAAGGAGCGAACTATGTAAGAGTGTTCGAGAAAAAAAAAAGAAAATAAAAAATAAAAAAAAACAGACTAAGGATACGAAAAAATGAGGATTCGGATGAGGCACTGAGCGTGACCGATTATACATAAAATAATATATTTATTATAATACCCCACTTCGCTACAGCGATTAACATTGATTTAACACAATTTATACCGTAATTCTATGTAATAATGTATTTCCACACACTGACAGGATGCCTGGCTGCGACAGGATTCTGGAACGATTGCTCGCAGAAGGACTATACGAGATGACTCTTTCTTTCTCTCTCTCTCTCTCTCTCTCTCTCTCTCTCTCTATCTCTCTCTCTGTCACTTTCTTTCTTTCGTTCTTTCTTTTTCTCTTTCTTTTTCTCTCTCTCTCTTTTTCTCTTTCTTCCTCTATCTCTCTCTTTCTTTCTCTCTCTTTCTCTTTCTCTCTCTTTCTCTTTCTCTTTCTCTCTCTCCCTCTCTTTCTCTCTTTCTTTCTTTCTCTCTCTTTTTCTCTCTGTAAGCTGCAACAAAAACGTAAACAACTGGATTAAGATCTGATATTTTCATCTGACTAAAAGATATCTACCTTTTGAATTAATATGAATTAAATATACTTAAATATACTTAACATTTTAATAAATTAATGCTAAAGATTAAATTCGCTGAGATTAACGGATGAAAGAGAATGTCAGTAGTGTCGACTCGAAAGATATCGAGGAGTATATTTCAAAGCGTAAAATCGAGAGAAGAAGGTGGTGGGGGTTAGAATGAGGGAGGAAGGGAGGATTAAAAGAGAGATTATTAATTGGCTACACGATAAAACAGTGTTAGTCCTCGTCCTGTGTACTTGGAAGAGACCCCCTCTGGTTTCTTTCGAAGATATGGGACCACGCGAGTTCTTCCTTACGAGTTCTCTCTTCGGGCACGTGTGTTCGTGCATAACACAGGAGGACCTCTCTCTTCCCCTTCCCACTCTCTCTCTCTCTCTTTCTCTCTCTCTCTCTCTCATGGAACTTGGCCCTCTTATCATCCACTATTATCGTTTCGTACAATCCATCGTAATTGTCAGCACTGAATTCAAAACTGAGTTACAATTATTCGAGTATCTCTTTCTCTTTCTTTCTCTCATTATCTTCATCGATAAATATTCAAAAAGAAAATCTAAGATCGATAAAGTGGATAATGAAGGTGAAAGAGTAGAATGACGATCGGAGGAGAGTAGAGGAGAAGAAGTGGAGGATTACTTTCCTCTCCTCTGTCCTCTTCGTTACTACACACTTGTTGTTCCTCTCACGAGACACGAAGCACGCGCATCGAATGCTACGGTGTGTCGTGCGAAACATTTCGTCCTTTTTTCCTCGATGCGTGCATGTCGCTCGTTCTTGGTGTCTTGCCGTTGTTGTTGTTGTTGTTGTTGTTGTTGTTGTTGTTGCTGTTGTCGTTGTTGTTGTTGTCGCTTATCCTCCCATGGTCGAAGAGAGATAGAAAGAGAGAGAGAGAGAGAACGAACGAACGAAGGAACGAACGAGCGTACGCGAGTATGAGCGCCTATAGACCATAAGGGCTAACAAGGCGATTACTCATGCCTCCCATAAGAAGAAGTTACAAGCGGGTTCGAAGGTTTATTGCGGCAAATGGCGAAATTTGTACCTCGCTAACGATCGACGCTCTTTTTTTCAGCCCTCCCCGAACATCTCCGTCTCTCGCTCTCGATATCTCTCGACGTCCTTCTTACCACAAATCCGACGACGTTACCTACAAAGAGCAGAAGGAGGATGAGGGATGAGGGAAGAGGAAGAGGAGGAGGGGGAGGGGGAGGGGGAGGAGGAGGAGGAGGAGGAGAATTTTTGAAGGCAGCCGGTCGGTCTCAACTCGTCGTATTCGTGCGGTGAAAGAGATCTCGGACGCTGGTGGAATCGACGGCAAGAAACTGCAATTTTCTAAAGTACGGCCTTAGCTACGGGGTCCGTCTTTATCCCGGGGTCAAATTCGCACCGACCACCCCCTTCACCTTCGATTCTTCCACCAAGGGAAGAAGGAACCGGCCACGAACCGGCCACCAACCGGCCACGAATCGTTCCGCTATAGGCATCCGCTACCTCCGGTAAACTCTAATTAGATTTTAAGTGAGAAATTGAGCCCGCCGGCAATTTTAAGGAAGCCGAATGCACCGGTCCGATTAATATCATTATATTCGTTGCTCGATCGTTACCTGGAGAGAGGGGGCGGGGGCTGGGGAATCTCTTCGTTCGAAAGATAGTACGGGGTTCAAGATTTCTTCCTTTTTTTTTTCTTTTTTTTTTTTTCTTTTCTTTTCTTTTTATTCTCTTTCTTTTCTTCTCGATCAAAGATCGCGTTAATCAAAGTCTAAGATCGTACGAAAAAAATCCCCTCCGTAAAAAATTTCAAACTCCGCGGGGTGTATTCGAACGACAAATAGTTCTTTCGATTATAATTGTCACGTTTTAAATAATCATTATTGTTAATTAATATCATTTAGTTCTCCTTTTCTTGGTTTTTTTTTCACTTTCCTTTTTTTATTTACGCATATTTCTATTGTGTGTACGCGAGCGTTTTTTCTTTCTCCTTTTTTTTCTTCCTCTACTTTTTTTTTAACCGCTCAATTTATTCCACCGATAAAGATTATATATATTTTCTCTCTCTCACTCTCTCTCTCTCTCTCTCTCTCTCTATCTTTCTCTGGAAGCTTTAACGACCATTTAATATCGTGCTAATGACGGTTCTCTTGGATAGTAGATAATGATTTCGATCGTCTCGCTTGCTCCAACGAGAGAAATATCATCGACGTTTTATAATCCAAACGGAGACTCGCCGCCTCTATAGCTCGGTTCTCGAATCGATTATAACGAAAGATCCAGCGCGGATTTATTTATGTAAAAATATTCCGCGCTTACCCATAATGGTAATATCAATGCGGACATTTAAATCAATTATTTTATAAGATTATCATTTCCATCATAACGGAACAAAATCGGCTATCAATATAATACGTTTAAATGGCGCCTAGACGTTTAACGCCGATATTTAATCTTTAAAATCTCGGACACGCGTTGTAAATATCGTATAGAATGGAAAAAAAAAAAAAAAAAAAAAAAAAAAAACGAAAAAAAAAAAAAAAAAGAAAGAAAAAAGGAAATAAAAAAATAAAAAATCCAAAGAAGGAAAAAGAAAAAAAGGAATCAGCAAACCTCGGGAAAAAGTTTCGAGTTTATCTGCGGAGTAAACGAATTGTTGAAGGGGAAGGAAGGGGGATTAATAAGGGCGAAGTGGGGGCAGGTAAATCGAACCGGCATAAATCCGGATGGACTAAGGGTGTCGAAGGGAAGAGAAGAGCGACTTACCCTTCAACCGTGACGCGATCATCCTGCCATTCATCAGTAGTAGCTGACTTTTACAAACGTCGTGACGCGGCGTAGCTAATGGTACCTTTTAAATGCCGGACAACGGGCGATAATTCTAACGTTTCACTTCTGAAGTTCTCTCCCTATCTCTCATACGAATCCTCGGAATCTCTTATGGTCGTTACGCGTCACCTGTCGTCGCATTCGTAGAACGGACACGCGACGTTTACGTGAAAGAATGATCTACGGTCTCTCTCTCTCTCTGTCTTTTCAATTGGAAAAAAAAGAAACAAAAGTTTGGAAGTAAAAAAAAAAAAAAAAAAGAAACGTAAATGAATGTGAATAAAGAAATTTTTCAATGAACGTCCTTCCATTTTTTTCTTCCCTTCCTTCAATTTCCCCCTTGCAAACTGTCGTACTTTGAAAACATAGGGAAGATTTACAGGAAGGTGGAAGGAAAAAGAGTGAAAACGAGCGTATCAAGAAGTTCGTTCTTTAAAGGAGGGTCCTTAGAGATGGAAAAAAAAAGGATAGAAAGAAAGAAAAAAAAAAAAAAAAAGAAATGAGAGCAGGGGAGTTGCCACTTTGTTGTTCTAATTAATGACCGAATTCATCATCGGGACGTCGGCACAATGAGCTAAGAAATAGTAGCCGTTCTCTTCTCCCTTTGCGGTTAAGCTTATGGACAACCCTTTTTATCACTCTCTCTCTCTCGCTCTCTCTCTCTGTCTCGCAGGCGCACGCGCTTACTCGAACGACACCTTTTTCACGCAGGCTGTCTTAAGAAGACAAAACCGTGACGGTTGGTTGTCCGGTCGTGGACCGAGCAAAGCAAAGCAAAGCGGAGCAGAGCAGAGCAGAGCAGAGCAGAGGAGATCAGAACAGAGCAGAGAAGAGTAGAGCAGGAAAGAGAGAGAGAGAGAGAGAGAGAAAGAGAGAGAAGAGGAGAGAAGAGAAAAGAGAGAGGTATCTTCCGCACCAGTGGCAACGGTCATCCTGGACCGTTTGAGGAGGCTGAACCCGATTCCGAAACTGGATTTCGAGCGTGCCACTCGTCGTCGTGGCACGTAGTGGTATGAAAGAAGAGTGGAAAGAAGAAGAATTTAACGGAATCGAAAAGGGCGAATTGTTTCGCCATAAAGTTTCGCGATACTTTCGGGTAAAAAGGGCCGAAATATTACGCGTATAAAAAGAAAGAAATTAAATAAATAATAATTCAAGATTTTTATCTTCGATGATGCGAATTTACGATTTGAGAATAGTAATCGAACGTGTTCGAATAACATATCGATGTCACGAGATTCTCTTGGTATCAAGTCATCATCAACAACGGAGGCATGAGAGCTCTCGTGTTCGTTCCTTCGATGATAAATGATACGATGAAACGTAGCGGTAAGCGCCGGGGAATTGGCTTTTCGATGCGGCGTGAAAGTTTCTCCCTGCTGGGGTGAGCACCAGACACGCCGGAGGGACGTGGAAGATGAAGAGAAGGAAGAAGAGAAGAAGGAGGAGGATGAGAAGGTGGAGGAAGGTGGAGGAAAGAACTGGGGAGTTGGGCGGGAGGGGGGAGGAGGGTAAGGGAAAAAAAACACAGGAAAAAGAAGAAGAGCTTCGAGAAGAGATCGAAGAGGAGGGGATAGCCGGGTGAGCCAAAGACCGAGGTCCGGTCTTCTCTTCTACGTCGTACTGACCGGTGACCAGTAACCGGTGACCAGTGAGAATCCTGCGGCCACTCTTGCGAGTCCCGAAGGCTAGAACTCCTAGGGAATCCAGGCAAAACCGGTCCAGTCGGATCCAGAGCACCCGCTGCTCGAACCACCACGCTGCTGCTGGCTATCCTCTCTCTACCTGCTTTCCTCTCTCTCTCTCTTTCTCTTACATATACACAAGTCCACATATACATAAGTCCTCAGCTCTTGGAACGTTTCTAAGGAGTCACGTATCTCAAAAGAAAACCCATTCGGTTCATTCGTTGTTCTTCGATAAAGATGATAATACTTTCATTCAGAAATATCGATCGATGATACATCGAGAAGACAATCCACCTTGAATAAAGAGAGAAAGGAAGAAAGAAAGAAAGAAAGGGAGGAAAACAAAAAATGTCGAGAGTCTAACCTATGACGAATCACCCCGGAATACACATGGAGGTGACAAAAGCGATACGGCCACCGGTTCACTCTCTCTCTCTCTCTCTCTCTCTCTCTCTCTCTCTCTCTCTCTCTCTCTCTCTCTCTCTCTCTTTCTCTATCTATCTTTCTAAAACGACCCCTGAGAAACATCCCCTTAGCCTATATGCCTAGCCACGAGACTAAATCGATCGATCGTTGCTCGGAATCGATCTGTCACCATTAGATTCACGCCTGGAAAATATCTCCTCTGTCATTAGCTCTCACTCTCTCTCTCTCTCTCTCTCTCTCTCTCTCTCTCTTTCTTTCTTTCTCTCACACACCATCCAGATATTACGAGGCGTGACAGGAATTCTTTCTTCTTCTTCCTTTTTTTTTCTTTTCTTTTTTTTCTTTTTTCTTTTTTTTTAATCTCCTCCTCGCGCAAAAAGTTCCTATATTCGCTACCGCGGACATGTTTTTTAGCCCGATTTCACTTCCCTTAGGGTCAGAAAATTTTTTCATTGGCACGCGCCTAGTAACCTTACACCATGTTGGATTCCGTAGGTTGTATGTAGTTACATACGTAACGTGTAAAGAAGCATGAATAGAGAGAGGATCGAGGAAATCGTATACGACTGGTTTTACGAGCACAGAAGGTATATATATATATATATATATATATATATATATATATATATATATATATAATGAGAAAGAGAGAAAGAGAGAGAGAGAGAGAGGAACCGAGTTCTAAAGTCTCTCATTCTGATCTTGAGCTTTAATGCCAGAGAACCTTGTTACACTCACGAGTTTATAGTAACGATCCACCTCGAATCTTAGCCTTCGATATTATTGTCGATCGTTTAATGGTATCTCGAAAATAGGATGAAAAGAGACACGAGCATCGGTCTCTACGTATATACTATTCTATGCTTAAGAAATGGTATCGCCAAATGTAAACAAATACTCTATACTCTCTGATACATTCATATTGGCACTTATTGGTTAATGTTTTCTTTTGGAGAAACGAGAGTCTAAGGACGTGTTTGTTTTCTCTCTATCTCTATTTCTCTTTATTTCGCATTAACAAAGAAATACTTTCGATTACATTGAAGAACAGTACGGATCGTTCAGTTCTTTGCGAACGACTCTCGTGACAACGTCCGAAAAGGATCGTGTCTGGTGAGCAAGCCGAAAGGATTACGCATCCCTTTACTGAGCCTCCTCGCCCTTTTCACCCTTTCTCTTCGATCTGCTCGAACAGCCGGTAACGTTCACGAATCTTTCAGAAAGAGAGAAGCAATGATCCCTCAACAAGCTTGATACGTAAGTTTTAAGCGTCGAACAGTTTGCGTTTTTCTAAATGACGACGATCCAAACGACGATGTTCTAATCTTTTTTCTAAGCTAACTCTCGCAACCTTTTATGGCGTATAAGGCAGTAAGAATGTAACGAGCGAGTAACGACGAGTAACCTCTCGTAATAGAGATTTAGTATTTTTCCTTAATAAAGGTTCCTAACCATAAACCAGGTGATCAAAGATCTCTCTTTCTCTTTTTTCCTTTGATTGAGGTATTTAAAAAAAAAAAAAAATCAAGTTTGCGAGAAAATATAAATATCGATGAAAGGAACTT